AAAGAAGAAAGGTTAGGAGAGGCTCTGTTTGGAAACAGAATTTCAAAGCTGCAGATACCAGTGACGCAATTCCATGAGATGGTAAGGTCTACTATAGAGCAATGCCATGGGAATGTAGTGGGGTACAGATTGTGGTATACAAGGATTTTGTGGCCTTCAACACATAAAAGGTCATTGAAAGACAGTGGGAGAGGAATGGTAGGGAAACAGGAGAGGAGCATAAGATAATGATCACACAACTTCCTGGCCCTTAGGGTCAGGGGGACTAGGAGAATGAATGGCTTTTGATAGAGAAGGTACACAGTATCTAATGTTCTCGGAGGAGAGCCCATTTCAGTTAAAGAAAAGAGGTATAAGGAATGTTGGTTGAAATATCTAAGAATGTAGGAGTGTTTGCAATAGATTAGTGTTAGGGCACAGTGAAGATAAACAAACCGGTTGGTAGCAATCTTTGACAGGGATTGGAGTTCAGGAAAATGCTGTTAATAGAATGTCATTTACTCCTACGGTAGAATGATGGGATAATGGAAAATGAGGAGTCAGTACAACAAGAGGAATATTGATGTAACATGTTCCACAGGCGGGCCTTAATCACAAGGATACATGAAGAGTTAACACGTAGCAGAATTGTAATAAGGTCTTCTAATTTATAAATCTGATTACAACAAATTCCAAGTTACATCACAGATTCTCTTGCTGTACTTGGATTTTTGTTTCAAACGTTGCCATCAACTGGGGCTTAAGATTCTTTTGTTGTAATAAGAATAGGGACCAGACCTATGATTTCATTATTATATAGAACTCTGGATTAGTAAATTCCCTCTACTAATTTAGATTGGAATAGTAATTAGTATTATAGCCGGCAATTATATAGTGCTTTAAGGCTTACAAAGTGCTTTTATATCCATTATATCATTTGATCCTCTCAACAACCCTATGAGGTTGGTGCTATTATTTTGCCCATTTCATGGATGAGAAAACTGAAATTGAGAGAGAGGTTAAGTGACTTGCCCAGGGTCACATGGTTAAATAAGTATCTAAGGTAAGATCTGAACTCAGGTATTCCTGATTCCAAGTCCAGCAGTTTACATCCATTGTGACAACTTTCTTGTTGTTGTTCAGTTGTATGTGACCCTTTGTGATCCCATTTAGGACTTTCTTGGCAAAGATACTGGAGTAGTTTGCCATTTCCTTCTCCAGCTCATTTTACTGATGAGGAAACTGAGACAAATGGGGTTAAGCAATTTTCCCAGGATCATACAACTAGTGTCTGAGGCCAGATTTGAACTCAGGTCTTCCTGACTCCAGGCCTGGTACTCCATTCACTGTGCCACCTAGCTGCCCCATAATGACACCTGTGGTGGTGGTTGAGTCATGTGAGTTGTGTCCGACTCTCTGTGACCCCATTTAGGTCTTGGCAAAGATACTGAAGCAGTTTGCCATTTTCTTCTCCAGCTCATTTTACAGATGAGGAAGCAGAGGCAAACAGGGTTAAGTGATTTGCCCAGGGTCACATAGCTAGTAAGTGTCTGAGGCTAAATTTGAACTCAGGAAGATGAGTCTGTCTTACTCTAGGCCTGGTGCCCTATCTACTGTGTTACCTACCTCCCTTTTGTGACACTTTGCTGCCTCTTATAATCTTAGAGAGTTTTCCAAAGAACTGAGAGGTTAAGTGTTTTGCACAGGGTTATAGCTAGCATGTTTCAGAGGCCTTCCTGGATCTAAGACCTGTTTTCTATCCATGTTTGTTATAATAACATTTTTTAAAGATTAGAAAGTTATATTAATCTTTTGAGTTTTTTTAACAAACCATTTAATTTAAATGGATTTTTCTTGACCTTTAAAAAAGTATAAGAAGCACATGTTTATTTAGAAAATAAGTTGCTAGAAGCTTTAAATAACCAGATTTGGTGAGGCCCAGTCTCAATCAACAAATGAGTAAGCATTTATTTATCACTTACTGTGTGCCTAGCATTTAAGCATAGAAGATAAATGAGATCTAACAATCCATTAATTAACTGCGTGTGAGCGATTTTAATCTAAAGAAAGGGAAGGCTAATTGGACCAGGGTGACTGAGATAGAACGAAAAGTTTTCATGGAAAAGGTGAGATTTGAATACAGCCTGGAATTTTGATAGGCAGAGAGAAGGGAAGAGGGAATACCATAAAATATATGTAAGTAGACAAGTAGAGAGGAATGAGCATTGAGTATATTAAAGATAGGGATGAAAGTGGCCTGATCTGACTAGGACATCAATAGGTTATTTTAGTGCATGCACACATGCGCGTGCGCGCGCTTGTGTGTGTGTGTGTGTGTGTGTGTGTGTGTGTGTGTGTGAGAGAGAGAGAGAGAGAGAGAGAGAGATGGGAAATAAAGTTAGATAGGTAGGCAGAGGAAAAATCATGGATAGCTTTCAAAAGTCAAGTCCTCCATAGGAATTTAACTTTATGTGCCACTGAAGATTTCCATAGGAAGGAATCACAGAATAAAGACAGATTAGTCTGGTAGAAGTGTGCAGGGTATATTGTATAGATGAGAATGATGTGAGGAAGACCAAGTAGGAGATTATCATGGTGGGAGTAGAGCAAAAGGTAGTAGCAATGAGAATGAAGAAGGAAAAGAGGATCTGGGATACATTTTTAAAATATAACAGGACTTTGACAAACTGGATAAAAGTAGGATCACAAATGTCAAACACAAAGACTATGGGCTGCATGAGTCCCACCACACTCATAAGTGCAGTTCAGACCAGATTAAAATGTAACTGGAAAATAATTAATGAAATAAATAAAAATGCAATAAAACATAGGTAATGTTAACATGTGGTTTTCTAAGTCAATATGTAGCCCACAGAGGTCCTTATGTATGATTTAGTGGCCCTAGTTTCCATTTAAGTTTGACACCACGGATAGCATAATAATAATTCACCAGAGATGAATCCAAATTGTCTAGCTTGGCAGACTATAAGAATGGTGATACCACTGACATTTTGTAGTCTCTTTTTCTTTAAAATAAGCATTCATTCTGCAGTCTACTTTTTATAAGAGGCAAGTAACTAACAAGCAAAATGCTATCAGGGTTTATCTTTAAACACCTCCTAAACCCTCAAATAAAATAAAAATATTTCCTTGGATACATCATATGATCAGTCTATATTCAACCTCATCTCCTACCCTTCTATATCTATACTACTAAATAATCTTAATTGAAAAGCCTTAGAAATGGCAAGATTCTTAAAATGCATTCTGAATAATCAAGGAAAGATTAAACTATATTTGGTTTAGTTTAGTGCTAAGGATATTTTATAGTATAAACATTTTCTGAAAATTGGCAATCCATGTGTGGCATATGGTAAACTAGAATTCACCACACAGTTAATTAAACAGAATACCCCATTCTTTAACCAATGCTAATATTTGCTGCATATTATACTCATAGTAAGAAACAAATTAACTTTTTCAAAGGCATTTTGTTATACTTCTTTTCGTGCCCACGTATTAGAGACAGTGTAGTAAAGTCAAAAGAATATCAGATTTGGAGTCAGAAAACATGCAATTTAAGCTCCCCATCAGCCATATATTAGCTGTGTGACCTTGGGGAAGTTGCTTAACTTTTCCAAGCCTTAATTTCTTTCCTCATTTGTAAAATGGAGATAATTATACCAAGACTACTTGCCTCAGAATGTTGTTAGGTCCAAATGAGATAATATGTTAAAAACTAACAAAATGTTTGTTACTCTCAATCAAAAGGCATTGATTAAATGCTTACTATTTGTACTGTACTAAGTATTGGGGGATACAAAGGCAAAACCGAAGCTGCTCCCATTCTCAAAGAGCTTATATTCTAATAAGAGTCAATAAATGTAAGCAATTTTAATGTTTGTTAACATTTCATTTTCCATACCCAAGTAAGAGTAGTATTATTATCCAAATATTAAAACATGGATTTATCAATAAAAAGTTATTTTCTTCTACAGTCCCTAGGGGGAAAAAAAAACAGTTCGGGATTTATAAGGTAGGGGTTGACTGAATAAATCCATCAAATCACACCAATCCATTCAATGTAGTTCCAGATCATGAGCTACAGAAGTCACAAGCAAAATTTAATAAAAAGCCATAACTAGGGCAGGGTGACTGATGATTTTGACAGGAATCAACTTGGGAGAGGTAGATTTCATCCTTGATTTGAAGTGGACTATAGACTTCTGTCAGCATGCCTAGTGTCCCTCCATTGTTTCCTGCCTCTGTGTTGACTGGAGAGGAAGGCAAGCACCAAGAGGGATTGAGGGAAAGAGATCTTGGGCCAGTGAAGTTTGAGAGAAGAGGGAAAGAAAAAGGCTGTCCCTGCTTGTTTCACAGATATATCTATAGTTGGACTCTCCTCAAGCACACTTTCCTTCCCCATCAAAATCCTTGAGTACACAAACCATATTCTCTAGGGTAGGAATTCTTAACCTGAGATCTGTAAAGCTGTTTAAAATTTTTTTAAAATAACCATTTCAATACAATTTGTTTCCTTTATAATCCCATAATTTCTTTTAATCTTATGTATTTAAGAACATTATCCTAAGAGAGGTCATAGGTTTTGCAGGATTTCTAAAGGGGTCCATGACACAAAAAAGGTTAAGAACCCCTTGTCTAGGGATCATTATAGCTATCCTTCCCACCCCCCCCCAAGTGAATTTGTCTTAGGCAATAGGATTTGTAGATACATCTCTGTTTAAAAGTTTATGTGTGTGTGTGTGTGTATATATGTGTATATGTATATATATATATATATATAATTACATACATAATAGTTAATTATTTCCTGCATGTGGGCTCAATTCTGTTTTAAGTCTTGAGGGGTAAAATGTCTACTATATCACAAAGTATATCCTATTTGATGAGATGTTTATCTCAGAAAAATATCACTTTAAGGTTCCTGATACATTTGGTAAATACTGAATAATGAGCCAGTTGAAATCAAATGACATATTTAAATAAAAATGACAACATACCATTTTAAAAGATAAAGTGCTAGGATCAGTATCTTCTACTGGTTCTCTTGTAGCATGATCTGTAAAAAATAAATAAGCATAATGAAATTCACTTTCTGATAATGATTTTCAAGTTGACGCAGGACCTGAGTCACATTTTTTTTTTAACAATTTCTTTTTTTCCTTTTGAGAGCCTGCATGGCATAGTACATAGATAAAGCCTGGAAGACCAGGGTTCTCACAAGTACAGGCTCCGTGACCCAGGACAAGTCATTCAACTTCTAAGGGCTCTAGGCAACTTTCTAAGGCTATATATTGAAGAGATGGTGCTAACCTGCATTGGTAGAGGGAACTTCCTCACCCAGGAATTTATTATACTGATGAAATCACAGGTCCCTCTCCCATCTTTTCTGAGATCAGAAGAAATAGGCTTAAAATTAATTGAAAAACTATTTTATAAGAATTTTAAATTTCCTTTTATTCAGTTTTATTATGCCATTCCTCCTGGAACATTTGGCTAACTGAAGCCTGTTTCCTGTTAATATTAATCTCACTTGGCTAAAATCTGACTCATAGAATTATAGTATTAAGAAAAGACTTTTTACATTCCTGAGGTAAGAGGCTAAAAAAGAGGAAGAAGGAAATATAGCATTTATGAAATTTTTAAGCCTTCCCAAGGAGATTGAGCTCATTTTATTTGTGGAAGAATTTCCCTTACACTGAACTTTTGCTTATCTTCATGACATGTAAATCTCTTCCTCTCAATTAGCCCACTGTGACTTCTTTAAAATGTAGCCTTGTAATTTTGTAAGGATTTCTGCAAACTCACTGTTTAAATCTGTAACTTTAGTCTGTTTACTGATGTGTCTAACTCAGTTTGTTCAACCTTTATTGAAGGAAACATGATATGATGAATCTGTTTGACTAGCCAGGGTAACCTTTATGGATATAAAAACTGTTACATGTTAAAAAATTGTTTCTCAGTCTCTCTGACATAGTTATCACCAAAAAGACTTTGTCAGAAACTCTAATCTTTGTTTAGGGTTATTTTTCTACCTCCTGAACCTGTTTTTAAACATTATAAAACTTAGGTTTTTAATCTCTATAATTTCTGCATTATGATAAGTTTATTTGGCAGCAATACCTATTATACAAACTCAACGGGGAAAAAATATTCCCATAACATTAAGTTAGATAAAATACATCGGTAAAAATTAAATTTTAGGACAGGTTACTGATAAAAACCTACAAGTCTATAGATAATCAAACATAACCATACATTTTTGGGATATATAGATGTATACATATTATAGCGAGAGAGACAGACATGTTGCTGTTTGAAGACAGATTACATGCTGGATATGGATTTAAATCCTGGTAGATGTGAGTTTGGGCAGCTAAGTTGCACAGTGTATAGAGTACTGGGCCTACAGTCAGGGAGACCTGAGTCGAAATCTTGTTAGAACCTCTTGACTATTCTACCTTCTTCTCGTCTCTCAGTCAATAAACATTTATTAATTGCCTACTATATGCCAGTCATGGTGCTAAGTGCTAGGGATCTAAAAAGGGGGCAAAAGATAGTCCCCGACCTCAAGGAGCTCACAGTCAGACAGAGGAGACGACAAGCAAGCAAGTATCTACAAACTAGCTGCCTAAAAGATAAACAGGAAATATTTTTAAACGGGAAGGCACTAGAATTAAGAAGGGTTTGGAAAGGTTTCTGGCAGAACATGAGATTTTATTTGGGACTTCAAGAAAGTCATCCTTTATTCCTTCCTCTCTTGTGCCTTCCACTTCTAATCACTAGTCATCTTATTGACAATAAATATCTCTTAAATTTGTCCTCTTTTCTCTACCCAGTCAGTCACCAGTCTAATTCAGGCCCTCTCCTGTCATGTGGTCTGATACCACCGAAATGCTGCAGGCATCTAGGAACTCTGCTATGTTTAAGTTAAGATGGTTATGTGGAGAGTTAAACAATACTCTCAGAGATTTCAGCAACTCCTGTAGATTCACTATCACCTCTATGTGGATCACTTATAAATCTATACATCTAGCCCTACTTATTTTTAAGTTCTAGTCTTGAATCAGAAACTGAACCTCCTGGTGGCCCAGGAGGCATCTCAATATGTCCAAAATATAACTCATTATCCTCTCCCAAAATCTACCCTTCCTACAAACTTCCCTATTTCTGTTGAGGGCACAACCATCCAATGTGGTTCAGTGGAAAAAGTTCTAACTTTGGGATCTGAGAGCCTTGCTTTAAATTCTAGTTCTGATATTTACTATTTGTCTTGGGCAAGTCATTTTAACCTCTATGGGCCTTAGTTTCCTTATCTAGAGAATAAATAGGGTTTGAACTAGGCAGCATGGTACAGTGGAAAGAGTACTTGCTATGGACTTGGGTTCAAATCCCTCTTCTCACACTTACTACCCATGTGACCTTGGGCAAGTCAATTAACCTTCATGGGTCTCACCTTCTCCTTCTGTAAAATGAAGGGTCTGGAATTGATGGCCTCTTAGGCCTTTCCTACTCTAAATCTATGACCCTTCCAGTCTCCCAGGACTGGGGGGGGGAAGGAGGGGACAGGGCATTCCAGACGGGGGAGACAACCAAAGAAAATGCCCAGAGCCAAAAGATAGAATGTCTTGTTGGTACAACAGCCTGGTGGCAGTGTCACTGAATGGAAGAGTGTGTGGCCAGGTGTAAGGTGTCAGAAGACTGGCCGGCAGCAGGGTAGATTATGAAGGCACCAAACAGAGGATTTTGTATTTGATCCTGGAGGAAATAGGGAGCCCCTGGAGTTTACTGAATGGGGCAGGGAGGTGACATAATTGGACCTGAGCTTTAGGAAAATCACTTTAGTGGCTGAATGAAGGACGGATTAGAGAGGAGAGATTTGAGGCAGGCAGATCCGCCAGCAGGATATTGCAGTAGTCCAGCCTGCCTTAGAGTGGTGGCAGTGTTAGAGGAGAGAAGGGGGTTTGTTTGAGAGATTTTGCAAAAGTGAAGTCTTTCCTCTCCCATCCCATTTCCATACAGGTACCAAAATAATTTTTTCTAAAACACTGGCCTGACTATTACTCTCATGCTCAAAAAACCTTCTATAGCTCCCTAATGCCTATGGGATAAAATGGAAACTCCTAGGCGTGGCATTTAAAGCCTTCTCTCTCTGGCTCCCATGCTTCCAGAGTTATTTCATATTAATCCACTTCGTGAACTCTGTGTTACAGCAAAACCAGCTGTTCTTTGGACTAAATGCTTCATCTCTTTTGTCAGTGCCTTTGCCTAGGATGTCCCTCTTGTCTATGACGACGACGATGACGACAACAGTGATGAAAGTAATGGTGATGATTGTGGTAAGCGTGATGACAGCTCGCATTTCTAGAGATCTTTAAAGCTTGCAAAGCCTTTTGAAGTAATCTTCCTTATCTCCTTCTGGTAAGTGTTATCTTCCTTCAAAACTCAAGTGCTCTGTTTCTCAGAGAAGTCCTCTTAGATCCTCCCAGGTGTCCATGCTCTCTTCCCCTCAATTTCCTTTGATTCCACTTATTGGTGTATATATTGTGTCCCTCCAATGGAAAGTAAACTCCGTGAGGGTTGTTGTGGTTGTGTCATTTTAATTGTGTCCAACTCTTTTTTACCTCATTTAGGGTTTTCTTGGCAGAGATTTTCCATCTCCTTCTCCAGCTTATTTTATAGATGAGGAAACTGAGGCAAGCAGGGTTAAGTGACTTGCCTAGGGTCACACAGCTAGTAAGTGTCTGAGGCCAGATTTGAACTCAAGAAGATGTCTTCCTGATTCCTAGTCCAGTGCTCTATCCACCATGCCACCTAACTGTTCCTGGCATTGAAGGTAGTGTCTGTTATTGTATTTTCACCCTTGAAAACAGTAGGTAACTGCGTTTGTTCAATTTGATAAATTTAGTCACTAAAGGTTTCATAAGGGGCAGATGGAAGAACTTTATGTGACAGTTAGATTTGTGGTCCTAGATTATCTATAAGAGAAGAGACCACATGATCAGATACATATTGAAAGATACAAAGAGATCCGTACTGGGTGATTTTTTTTTCTTTTTTTGGCTTTCCTTTACATTATTTTGTGTTTTCCTCTGATACATGTGTTATGATGATAGAAAGAAAGAAATGATATGGACAAGGCATCAAGACAGACTAACCCAAAGCAAAATTAGGATATAGCCTAAGTTAATGTTTGATCTCGATCCTTCTGTTCCCATTATCGTCCTATAATGCTTTTGTCCTTTCTGGCTAAACTCCTTGAAAATGCCATCTAAGTGCTTCCACTTTCTCTCCTCTCAGTCTTTTCATAATCCCTTACAAAACAATTCTCACTTTACTGTCCCACTGAAACTGCTCTCTCCAAAGTTACAGATGATCTCTTAGTTGCCAAATCCAATGACCTTTTCTCAATCTTCCTTCTCCTTGACCTCTCTGCAGCCTTTGTTGATCTGCTGACCACGCTCTCCTCTTTGATACTCTCATCTCTCTAGGTTTCGGTGATACTTCTTTCTCCTGGTTCTCCTCCTACCTATCTGTCCATTCCTTCTCACTCTCGTTTGCTGGATCCTCATCTAGATCACACCCTCTAACCATCGATGTCCCACAGTCTTCTGTCTTGGGCCCTCTTCCCTTCTCCCTCTATACTGCTTTACTTGGAGATCTCATCAGCTCCAATGGATTTAATTACCATCTTTATGCTCCTCTCAGAGGATTCCAAATCTACCCATGTTGCCCCTATTCTGCTGACATCCAATCTCTCATCTACAACTGCCTTTCAGATATCTAGTACTTGATGTTAGATAGACATCTTAAACTCAACAAGTTCAAATAGAAAAACATTATTTTCCCCCTAAACCCTCGACCCCTTCTACCTTCCCTATACAGGGCGATTCTACCCTCTCAGTCCCTCAGGCTTCAAACCTGGGAGTCATCCTTGACTCCTCACTATTTTTGACACACCCCTTGCCCATATCCAATCTGTCACCAAGGCCTGTTGATTTCACCTTTGCACCATTTTTCAAATGAACCCCCTTTTCTCCTATGACACTGCAATCACTC